GCTCGAATGCAGGTTGAGCTCTAAGAGCACGGGTTCGAGCCTGGGTCGTGTCACTAGCCGACTGGGACAGGGGATCCCCTGGGAAAGCATTGGCTCAGTGCTGCCCAGGGCATGGTGGGATAGGTCAGCCAGGGCACTCTGGGATACTCGTGGAAACTTGCAGGCATGCGGTGCTGTCACTGAGAGACGCTCCTCTGCTCCCAGTCAGCTCTGATCCTCCAGTGCGGGGCTGCGGTGCCTGGGAACCTGTTGAAAGACAAGTGGCTCGAGGGTGGGCGGGTTGCAGTATGGTCCTGGATGGCTTTTTTCACTGGCTTGTTGGGTCAGCCAAGCAAGAGGTGACCCGCAGTCGGGTCTGGGTTCAGTAGGGAGCAGGACAGGGCCTCGGGCTTGAGGACTGTGCCATCATGTTGCTTCTGAGCACAAGAGAGAAAGAGGGAGGTATTTGGCGGTGTAGAAGAACAAAGAGTTCTGCTTTAGTCGTGTCAAAGATGTGCAGGTCGTTGACATGGTTTATTGGAACAGAAGAGATTCCATTATTTGAGAAGAACAGGTATCTTTTTTTCCCTCCAAAATGAAATCATATATAATCTTTTTAGTCTGAAAATTAACTTTGCAGGGCCTAGTCCAAAACCTGCCCAAAAACGACAAAAGCAGGAGTATGCAAAGAGGTATAAGCTCACAATGAACATATTCCTCCAAATATATAAATTGGTGCTTTTTCCACGTACTTCCCTCCTGCAATTTTCTGTATCCACCACGTGTGACTCCATGCTTCCCCGCTCAGGTGCAGCAGAGGAAACATGCCAGACCTGCGCCAGTTAACCTCAGTTAGGTACAGGTGTGGTATCGCCTTGGTTCAGGTGCATCACTGGAAAGTAGGTATTAGTCTCCTCTAAGGGTTCTGTGTTCACATGTCAGACAGGCGTATGTAATTCACTGTTTGCCCAGCAGGTGGCAATAGCTTATCACAGTTATTCCCACAGCTCTGCTGCACCAATATGCCCCTGCTACCAAGAAGCCTGGTGTAATATGTTATGCATGCTGACTAATGGTTTCATAGATTATGGGGCTGTGATTTGGGTCCAGCTTTGATCCCGGTCTTAATATATTACATTATACCACAATGATGCCAACTCCTGTGCTTGCTCTCGGTGCTGAAAGGATTATGAGATTTTCCTCAACAGTGTAAATAGGAGGAAGATAACTGGCGTGTTATTAAGGAAGTTGTGTCCTCAATCCTAGATAACTTCAGGAAGACTGTATAAGAGCATCTGAAGACTATTATGATAGTGTCTTTGCCTCGATCTCATCTTATGGAAAATATTCATTTTGAATTGTAATGGAAACAAAATAAGAATTCCTGTTGGAGGAGGCCTCCAGGGAGATGAGTCATAGGTTTCTGTAAGAAATAGTCTTTGCCAACAACAGGGGTTGTATGGTGAAGCTTTTTGTGTTCGGTTGTTCAGCAGTATTGTTCTAAAAAAAACTATGTGTGCGCTGTCCTTGAAAAAGTTATGTGTGCCAGACACGTCATGCTTCTAGTCAGGATCGGTCTTAATAGGAAATGGAGGGGAAGAGAATACAGTTATAAAAGCGCTGATATAGCACCCTGGGGCATCTTGACAGTTCTCAACCAGAATAAGAGCCCTGTGGCAGAAATGAATTCGAACGATCTGTGTTTGTCTTTGCTATAGGATTTGAAGGTTAATCTGCATGGAACTATACTTCAGAAATGCATTAGCGGTTCCCACAAATTATTCAAAGGTAACACAGTGAAGGGATGCAAAATGTAAAAGGACATGAATTGAATTTATGACTGAGCTTCTGACCTGATTGTTAAATCCGACTTCACAGAGGTGGCCTCTGGCTCCGGTAACGTGGCAGATCCACAGGGGCGGAGCAGAGAAGCTGAAGGCGAGGTCCTGTGTCGGGACACGTGCTGGCGGCAGGTGAGTTGAGTTTGTCTCGCTCTTGGACCTGACGGCAGCTGTCCGTTTCAGCACCATATCTG